GTTTGTACAGTTAGACTGTGTATTCCGTTTGTTGGCTACTAGGGCACTCTTTCCTTCTCCCACGCCTGTAGGTGCACTGTTTATCCACCTTTTATATTTTTATATTTCACCATGCAAGATGAGGAGAAAGGTAGTGGTCAGTGGGGCTCGCCCTGATTTTTAACGCTGTACGATTGAGTCGACGGATAGAAATGGTGCCGGTACAATGCTTACTGGTTCGATTTCTTTGTGGTTTCGGCAAGAGTACTGATGTGATCTAATTTGGAAAAATTACGAATGCACAAAATCTTTTGTGATTTGTTCTTCTCTACATCAAACCATGGAGTTTCGTCAACTACAATTCTAAATCCGTCTCCCGAAGAAGAAAGTTAATCTCTTCGGTAACTGTTCCTCTCAGACCTAATGTGACACGACAGTTTCACTCATCATTAGTAAGCCATGCGAATACTGTAAGCGTGTATCTCCCTTCTGAGAAACATCGGTCCACGAAAAACAGGCGTTAACGAATTGATGAAAGAGGCGAATGGGCCACTGATTCGGATTCGGGAGCGTTGTTTAGTTCGTTGGGCGGAGTATTTCGAAAAGCATTTTAATTGACCTTTATTCACAACAGGGTTGTTACCTAGCGCAATGACCACAGTCCCAGTTGTGGATATCAGTCCTCCGTCAGAAGCTGAGGCTCTCCGTGAGACGAGCTATCTCAAACGACATGAGCCTGACAGACGGAACGAGTTGCCTCCGTCTGTTGTCTAAGATGGCGGCTAAGCATTGTCGGTTAGATATAGGAGAAGAAATAAGTTCCAAAATGTTCGTGTGAATCATTGATCATACCGATTTATAAGTCGACAGGTCCCCTGTGAAAATCGCGGTGAAATGAATCTGGTTAGCATCACATTTAAACTCAGTTCAATTCAGTTTAGACAACCAATAACCATGCCTCAAGTGCGGTGGCTTTGGTGGCTATCTCCTAGCGACAACCTCAAGAAAATAATAGAGCAGAAAAGTGTATGGAAGGAGTAAGAAGAGAACTTCATTACTAGAATGAAGTCGGTGAAGTAAGTCTGAATTTAAAAGTGCCACTTACCGCGACATCTAGCCATATCTTCCAACGTATCTAACCATTGGGTCGGAGGGTCTTTTGGACCCCACCCAGAAAATCTAACACGTCCTACATGGCCAAGTCCACGGGTTAGGCTTTTCATACCTCTTCCACGTCATGGACTGACCACCCTTACTCATCTTCCAACCGGCACCCGCCTCAGCAAACACAGCACACCGTGGGATCGTGTCAGGGGACATGCGTGAAACGTCCCAACCATCTTAGCCTGGTCAGCTTAAGTGTTTCATCTAATGATTTGATCCCATTAACCTAAGACTTTCCGCCGAACCTCAGCATTGCCCACACGGTGTTCCTACCAAATTCGAGCAGTGCTACGAAGGCATCGGTGTTCAAATACCCACAATCTTCGTATATCCTCCACCCGCATTGGTCATGTCTCCGAACCATACAGAAGCACGGGCCTCACTGCTGCAGCGCACACTCGATCCTTGATAGGTAAACGGATGTCATGTCGACGCTACAGATGACTCAGGTTGACAAATCCCAAACGAGCCTTCTGATTACGGAAAAAAACATTTCACCCGATATTTGACTTTCTGGTGAAATACGGCTGCTCAGAGAACAGAACTTGTTTGGTACGTTTATAGTCTCCCCAGACATTGAAATGTTTGGCGTTGGACCAACCCAATCCTGCAACAGCATCTTGCACTTTGAAGGTGGAAAGCGCATACCGAACACTGCTACGCAACCCGTCAAGCTGTCTAGATAGGCTTGCAGCTTACCTGAATGTTTACCTAGAAGGGTCTGACACTTCTACTCCGGAAAAGTTCAATACCACTATCGTCACTTGACAAAAGCGCGGTCCCTACGGCCATATCAATAAAAAGGCTAAAGAGAGAGAGAGGGGGGTAGAAACCCTGAAGCACACTTTTCGTGATGAACTCGTGTGGAAGACCAACGTAATACCGAGCTCGGCTTCAGCTATTCATGCGGAGAGACTTTATGGTGGAGACGAATTTCTGATGCACCTTTCAGCAAGAGGCAGTGTCAGAGAACTGCGTTCGACTGAGTCGAATGCCGCTTTAGGATGAAGAAAAAGGGAAATAGTGAACCTACGAAAGGTGTGGCTGTGAGGGAGTGTTATACCATTGCTGCCGGACAGCCAAGTCGCGTGGGTAGTCAGCACTAGTGCGGTACCAAGCCCAAGACTTGAGACAACAAAACTTCGAGTGACAAGACAGCCGATCGCTGGAGTGGTTCGATAGATGAGTGCTGAGTCTTGTCAGCGTTGTACAAGCATCAAGGCGTGGTCGCCCACACCAGTCGGACCAATGCATTGTGCGCAACGAGTGGGCGAGTGTGAAAGTAACCTACATATTCTTTGTTTTTGGTTAATAAAACGGCATGATTCTGAGGCAAAATTGAGTACTCACTAGAGCTAGTGGGACGGAACAAAACGGTGGCTATGTCCCAAAATTTGTCGAAGAGTGAAGATGTGACCACTTATGTAGGCACTGATCACTCTTGTCCGCGCGCGCTTCAGCTTGCGCCTCGTCGGTGGCCGAAACAACACCAAAGCGAACCGTCCTCCGCAGCTGCTACTGGATGATAACCAACGGTCTGCTTTCCAAACAGAATTATTCACCAGGTTATCGATGCATGTAAATGCCCAGGATCCAGAAGAGCGATGGACAGAGATCGGACAGTCTTTACGTACTGCTGCTGATGCTACCCAAGGTCCAATAACTAGACGCACACAGAAACGATGGACATCTGCATCCTCAGTTGCACTGTTAGATGTGCGCAGAACGCATCCTCCGGATTCCAGACACGATGAAGCACGGAGATGCCTTAAATACCAACTGATTCGGAGCCTGAGAAATGACCGTGAACAGTGGCCGATTGCGAAGTGCAGAGAGATGGAAAAAACTGCGGTGACTGGCAACAGCCGCACCCTTTTCCGTCTGATTAGACAAACCGGTCCACGTACGCCAGGCGTCAGCGAATTGATCAAAGAAGCGAATGGCTCACTGATTCAAATTCAGGAGTGTCGTCTGATTCGCTGGGCGGAGCACTTCGAGATGCAGTTTACTTGGTCTTCATCCTCTTCAGGTTTGTTCACTAGCGCAATGGATACAGCTCTTGTTGTAGACACCAGTCCTCCGTCAGAAACGGAGATTCTTCGTGAGACAAGCTATCTTAAACGACATAAGGCTGCTGGACCGGATGGGTTGCCTCCGTCCATTTTTGAAGACAGTGGCCCAAACACTCAATGGAGTTGACGGAACTCCTCGGTTTGACATGGGAAAAGGAACTAAATTTAAAAAGTTGGTGTGAATCGGTGGTCGTACCGATTTATAAGCCGACAGGTCCTCCTGTGAAAACCACAAGGGAATAGGTCTGGCTACCACTGCATCCAAACTACTCGTTGGTATTATTCTTCACCGCTTATCTACCACTCGCAATCGGCACCCGTGCGAGAATCAAGCTGGGTTCAGACCTGGTGGAGGTTGTATGGATCTTATCTTTACACACACACCTTCCGCCGGCTCACTATCTCCGTTTCCCTTGATCTTGAAGCGGCCTTCGACTCAGTCGATCGCACAGTTCTCTGGCGCTGCCTTTTGTGGAAGGATGTATCAGAGAAATTCATTTCTACCGTAAAATCTCTTTAAATTAATAGCCGAAGCCGAGTTCGGGCTTACAGTGATCTTTCATCCGAGTTCACCTTGACAAGTGGTGTACGTCAGAGTTAGCCCCTCTCCTTTTCTCTTTAACTTAGTGACTGAAATGGTCCTAGAGACCGCTTTTCTGTCAGGTGAGGATAGCGGCATTGAATTTCTCCCGAGTGGAAAAGTATCGGACCTTGAGTATGCGGACGACAGTTCCTCTAAGTAAAGATCCAGGTAAGTTGCCACCTGTCTAGACAGCTTGACGGGTTGCGTAGCAGTGTTCGGTATGCGCTTTCCACCTTCAAAGTGCAAGATGCTGTTGCAGGATTGGGTTGGTCCAACGCCAAACATTTCAATGTCTGGGGAGACTATAAACGTACCAAACAAGTTCTGTTCTCTGAGCAGCCGTATTTCACCAGAAAGTCAAATATCGGGTGAAATGTTTTTTTCCGTAATCAGAAGGCTCGTTTGGGATTTGTCAACCTGAGTCATCTGTAGCGTCGACATGACATCCGTTTACCTATCAAGGATCGAGTGTGCGCTGCAGCAGTGAGGCCCGTGCTTCTGTATGGTTCGGAGACATGACCAATGCGGGTGGAGGATATACGAAGATTGTGGGTATTTGAACACCGATGCCTTCGTAGCACTGCTCGAATTTGGTAGGAACACCGTGTGGGCAATGCTGAGGTTCGGCGGAAAGTCTTAGGTTAATGGGATCAAATCATTAGATGAAACACTTAAGCTGACCAGGCTAAGATGGTTGGGACGTTTCACGCATGTCCCCTGACACGATCCCACGGTGTGCTGTGTTTGCTGAGGCGGGTGCCGGTTGGAAGATGAGTAAGGGTGGTCAGTCCATGACGTGGAAGAGGTATGAAAAGCCTAACCCGTGGACTTGGCCATGTAGGACGTGTTAGATTTTCTGGGTGGGGTGCAAGGGACCTTCCCATTCTGTGGTAAATACACTGGAGGAATTGGTCAAGTAATACGATCAGTGTCGCTCTTGTTCCCACAAACTTTCTTTATAGACTTGATATCACTTTTCGTAGTTTTCCTGTCACTGCTTTCATAGTCTTGTTATTTTTCATTTCCTCTTGAAGTTGTCGCTAGGAGATAGCAACCAAAGCCACCGCACCCCGTGCATTGTTAGTGGTTGTGTGAACTGTCATGCAGATTAATCAAAGTTGTAAATCTCCTGTGAACTTTTTAATTTTTATACTGGTACATATAAACTTGTTTGGTAACCACTTCTGTTTCATTTTTCTCAGGGTCCTATGTGCGATCTGCTGTGGTCTGATCCAGACGATCGAGGTGGCTGGGGTATAAGCCCACGTGGCGCTGGCTATACATTCGGTCAAGATATTTCTGAAACGTTCAACCATAGCAATAATCTTACTCTGGTCAGTCGTGCTCATCAGCTTGTTATGGAAGGTTTCAACTGGTGCCATGATCGAAATGTGGTAACAATATTTAGCGCACCCAACTATTGCTACCGATGCGGAAATCAAGCTGCATTGATGGAATTGGATGACAATCTGAAATACAATTTGTACGTTTTATTATCTTTGTTTCCGTTTTCCTTGCACCATCAAGAATCATATGTTTTCAGACAGTTACATCATTGAATTCAGTACTTTATGGTGTCCTTTTTCTTGGGGAACTAAAACAAATTGGGCAATAGATAGTTGGCATTTTCTCTTTGTGCCTTCTGGTTGATCGCTATGAGAGAACCTAGGACCTGTTACCGATAATAACTCAATGAACTGTTGTTTAATCACGCAAAAATCGAGCGGGATGAAAACTGTTGAAGGCGAGAGTTTTTTCCACTGTCAACGGCAGTTTTTGTCCAGCAGTGTGGCTGTGGATTCATACACTGATAGTGAAATTTGTGACTGGGATACAGCTTAGTCGTTGAGTTCTAAATTGAGTGGTAATATCAACGTCCATATCGAAAAGTAAATTCAGCTGGTTTATGTGCATGGTCGGTGGAGTTAATTATCCCGGGTACCGTTCAAAACCAGACGCTACTAGCCAACTCTTTCGGTAAGAAGAGTCGCCGTCGTCTGACTTACTACAACATATATGAGGCTCCTCATTCCAAGTTTACTTCCAGGTTTCCGGTTTTCCATAATCTGCACTTTCATGGTTTCTCATGAGTGCAGTGAAAGGGAAACACCCAGTAACCAGAGGGATTACTGTCGGAGAGAAAACAAACGACTCAAAGACTGGCAACCAAAGGTCGCTTGGGAATCAGAAAGGTCAGACGTGGTAATGACTCGGGCGATTGTGAACCTGTCTTTAGCCAAAGTTGATCGTCTGGTGGCGTTCAAACCAAATTTGGTTGCGCTGTAATCGTGGTAATACACAGTAGATGTAATATCTGCAACCCGTAGCTTTTTCACCCACCAGAGAAATAAAAACAAACCATTGGAGCCATTAGTGAAATAATGCTTCAAATCTGAATCATACATTTATTGTCATAGGTCCTAGCATTTGCGTGATGTGCTGTTCGCGGACTTAATGCCTACGGGGGTAGTCAGAAGGGTTGAACACATAAGTACACACATTTTCTGTATAGAACACGTAGTAATGAATGCTTCGATGCAAAATTTTCACTGCGATAATAGACTTGTGAAATCTTTTAAATAAGAATCAATCTGGTACAGTAATCTGCTAACTGCTCTACTGTTGGTCATTCTTGTCGCGAACCCCGCATTAAACTGCTACTATCACTCAATTACTTCGGAAATCTGAGTTCCATTCTTGTTTTGTTGTTACAGAACGTCAGGCATAACATTCACACTGGTTTTCGTTCTCACTTGGTTTTGTTTGCAGTCTGCAGTTCGACCCGGCTCCTCGACGTGGTGAACCTCACGTTTCTCGTCGCACACCGGACTACTTCCTGTGAAGGGTCCTTCTCACCGTAGCTCACTTTGCTACTACACATGGGCTCTGATTCCTAGCCGTTTATGAATGCCGCTCAACCACATTGATGCCCAGAACAGCACTGCTAAAAGTCGCTACCCCTGCCTCCTACCCAATTGCTGCACATATACAATTGTCTTCGCAAGCTTATCTGCTTCTTATCGCGACTTCTCTGCCACCATGTTTGCACACTTAAACGTCGCCGTGACAAGTTGCGCTCACCGATGGGCAATCCTCTTCTGGTACCTCACTACCCACATTCGAATTCATGGGCGGAGATTGCGGATCTGTTTGAAACGAGATCGAAAATTGGGTCAGATGTGGCCTGGTCCCGTCATCACGCACACACCCCGCACTAACGCTGCATGCCCCTACCCGGTCAGGTCTGTTTCTTTTCCATTGTTTCTAGGATGTAATTCATTGCAAACTGTGGATTGATATTATTCTTGCGCACGACCCAAGGGTTGACAATCAGCGTCGCCAGTGCTGTGCGTAATGCCATATCGCTGCGTCACGATATCTTTTTCCTCCACGTACATTTCCGCGTCTTTTTTCTATGTCCAACTCTGACCCAATACCTCCTGTTGTTCACTTTTACGCAGCAGTTCGCTTAGAAATCGGTCTGCGTGCCCGTAAAATTCTCAGTCAATTTCTTGCTCTGTGCGATTTAGCGCTACCGATCGAGTGTGTGCAGCATGTAATAAAGTGGTTCCAATATGTTCACTGAACAGTGTAAATCTTATTTAGCTACTTCTCAATCATTAGTCTAGTTTTTCTTGGGACCATGGCTGTTATGTTGCACCGGGATCAGATTGATCTGTTTCAAAAGGCCATACGGGACAGTTGATACCAACTTCTGCCGATCAGATTCATGCAGCATTCCATGTTTCATTTTGTGTATTGATCAATGTGCACGACTTTGTTGACCGAAGTTTCTACGCGTAGTCCACTATTAAGTCCTCTAGCTTCGGATGATTTGAGAACGGGACTGGGAGCAGTCAGCACATGAAGACTACACGTGTGAATCCTTTGTATACATTCACTCACTACTGTCAAGTGCAAGGCAATGTAGTGATTTTGAAGAGCCTTCTGCGTTTAATTTCCTCGTTCAGTTCTGAATTTTTCCAAATCAAAGTCATCATCAGTCTGCTTATCCGGTTTGGATACACTCGCGAGAGTTAGTCTAAACGAATATACAATCATGAGCATCCTTCTCAGTAAATGTACAGAACGTTGAAAGTTCCATCGGCTTCGTCGCATCGTTGTCAACCCAGATCATTCGTGATTATGCAACTGTGAAATGTTGGTTAGTTGGTAGCAAAGTGAGCTATCGTTGTTTGATTAATTGCAGAAAAAACGATGTGAGGCAAATCAATTTATTCGAGGGAATGACCATTTTGAAATCGAGTACGAATAGACCGCTACAATTTCTGTGGAACCGAGGTTTGAGCGTCAAATCTCAATTGTCGGTTTGACTTACCACCAACGCGATCGGCAAAACATTGGTTCGTTTTCAGTCGTTACTCTGGGCCGACCAGATGAGCTTGGGTCGTGTTAATGATTGTATCCAAACTGCCCAGCATAAAGCAGTGGAGATAGTATTCCCTTTGATTATCTACTCCGTCTCGAGAATGACACGTTTCCCATGATCCTAAAAGCACATTGTGCTGATGAGGGTAACCGCCAGCCATGACTTTGAGCCTGAGTGGAATAACACAATGGGTCTCAATTTCTCAGGCCTAGCGCTGAGCTGCACGAAGGCGCATTGCTGTTTGCCATTATTAATTATTGAATTGGACGGCTACGTGGCTGGACAAGTAACCTACACCACATTGCAAATGATTCAGATTAAAACAATCCACATTTGCAAGGGATTCGTGGTTAATTTTGAATGAACGGTGCGGACTGGCTGCATGAAAAGGAGACCTAAAGTTCCTACTACGATCTCTTCATGGAGCATGATACTAAACTCTGAGAGGATCTGATAATTTGTCCTTGCGAGCTGTGAACAACCTTCTTGCCCGAATTATTCACCTATTATTCAAACCCGTGAAAGGCTTACGCATGAGAATCAAGCAGGTTTCAGACTCGTTAGGCGTTGTATCGACCAAATCCTTACTCTTTGCCAAATTTCAAAGCCTAAGTACATCTTCCGTAAGTCAACCATCTCTGTCTTCCTTGATGTCAATCGGCATTTGACTCAGTCGACCGCACAGCTCTCTGGCGCTGTCTGTCATGAAAGGGTGTGCCATCAAAATTTATTTCGCTTTTCCATTCGTCGTATACGAACAGCCAAAGCCGAGTTCGTGCGTATGGCAATCTTTCACTTGCGCTCTACACGAAAAGTTGTGTTCGTCAGGAATGTCCTCTCTCATCCTTCCTCTTTAATTCTGTGATTAAATCGATTCTTGAGATAGCCTTATCTCCGTGTGGCATCAATCTTTTCTGGGGTAATAATCTGTCTGACTTGGAATACGCGGATGATGTTGTTCTTCTGAGTAAAGATCCAGGTAATTTGCAAGCTTCCCTAGATATCATAAGCAAGAGTGCGTTTTGCACCTTTAAATTGTGGAAATGCTGTTGGAGGATTGAATTGGCGTCACACCAAACCCTGTCCTGAGAGGGTAGCTCTATCCGATGTAGATAAGCTTTGTTACGTGGGCAGTTACATCTCACCAGGTGGTTGGATATCGGATGAAGTGTCGTCACGCATACAGGAGGCACGTTCAGCTTTTGCCAAACTCAGTCGTCTGTGGCGTTGATGTGACATCCGATTGTCGACCAAGGGTCGAGTGTGCACTGCGGCAGTTAGATCCATTCTTTTATGCAACTCAGAATCGTGACCGTTGAGGGTAGAAGATGGGCGAAGACTGTCGGTGTCTGAGTATCGATTTGTTCGTAGTATTACCCGAACACCGGGAACACCGTATCAACAATGTTGAAGTTAGACGTAGGGTGTTGGGAACCAGAGGTCAGTCTCTGGTTGAAGTACTGAGTCTAAGCAGGCTAAGGTGGTTGGGACATGTGTTACGCATAGCGACTGATAAACCTCCTCGGCGTACGCTGTTCTCCGAGGCAGGTAGTTGTTTGAGGGTAGGTCGACGTGGTCAGTCCACGACATGGCAGAAAAGTACGGAAACCTTGACGAATGGACTTGGCCGAGTAGGACGTATTAGACTCCCGGGCTTGGATCTACGAGACCTGCCTGCCAGGTGGTTGGAGGCATCGTGGTATTTGTAGGTGTTGAGGCCACTGGCGTGTTTACATTCGGACCCTATCTTCGTCTTTGCGATTTCCACTTATTACTTCGCTTTCGGCTTTCTTTACTTTCTGCGACTGTTCTTTAGGGCAGTTTCATTCGGTGTCGTTCTGTTTTTATGATTTCCCAAATAAAAATCGTTTTCTGCTTTCTGACTGTATTTATCGGCCCGTTCTATACTCCACTTGACTTGCTGCAAGATGGTAACCGAAACCAGAGCACCTTGTGTGCAGGTAGTCTGATCTAAAATTCCTACCGACGAACCAGTTCTACCGCTCCACAGTCATATTTTTCGACCCAAGATCGTGGCTTTTTACTGTCGTTTTTTAAACAATTCCGATGAAGATGTTGAAATTCGCGCATTGTCCTTTTCGGTTTGGTTCGTGGTAGTTCTAGTGCCGTGGTTGGTCTTTTATTTCGATTCGGTTGAAATTGAGAAAAGTGATTCATCGTTTGACTTTTCCGTTATGAGAGTAGTAGTTAACAGAATTGATTTGTGGATAGGAATTTATTGGAATCAGCCGTGCAGAACGTTGGTGGTGTAGTGAAATATGTCATCGATGGGTGTTCACCCCTCAGGGAGCATGAAGCATGTTTTTAATGTTTTTAATGTGATGTGTTATACGCTGCCGATAACAATCATTGACAACTATAGATATGAGCGGCACACACAGGTAGACCAAAGTGAGCTGAAACAAGGACTGGGAGTGTATTCAATGTATAGCAGGGCTCCTCTACCGACAGAGTACTGATTATCGTGGGTTGTATATCGTTGATACGGGTGAGCAGTTTAGTTGTTGACTAATTGTTTTAGCGTTGTCCTAAAGCATAGTTTCAAATTAAATATTATCCGGCAGGTGTTCTGGGTTATAATAGCATGGATAATAACTACTCTATTGACCACACAGTTATGACGCTCTATGAAAGAGGGACGCGACCAGTTTCAAATTGCTGAAGGGTGAAGTTGTACGTTAGCTGGAAGATCAAAACCCATTATCTCAAGGTCGATTGCTCGGGGTGATGACTGGTTGACCACGATCGTCTGCAGAGCAAAAATAATGATCCAGATCATAATTCGGTCTATTTCTCACTATTTTGGCCACGAAAAGGTTAGCCAGCAGTGGGTTTAGTGCAGCCCCATCATATTATGGACACGGTCTCTCAGCAAGTGGGTCATGAACTATCTATGTATCCCGCGCAAGTCAATCTTGTAGCTTCTGCTTCTGAATAATCACAAGCTGGTTTTTTTCCGAGATCTATGTCGTTGGAGAACTGAGTTTCTTTTGTCGTCAAGCCGATGAGTAATGAGTTTGCTTTATGAGGGAAGATTCGATCAGTACGGTCATTTCACTAATTGCTTCTACGAATGCCAACCTATTTTCAAGGTCACATGGTTCCTGATCGGTTAGAGAATATCGGTTGGTATGATCGATAGACCGTTGTAAAGATGAACTAGATTGGTAATCAGGGTTATGCATTTTTGACAACCCGCTTGGTTGAGACGACAATCAAGCTTAGTTTATCAAAAACAGCTCCCGTTTAGAGCTGCTTCCTTTTCTCCATTCTCTTCTAGATTGGATCCCATGCGAAGCCATTCGCCTTACTGCTGATCTATCACTAAACTCAAATCTGCAACCTTTCCCTATCGAATGGTTGCTTGCCCTTCTACATTTACTACAACAAACTTGTTTAAATTGCAATGATTTAACCACCTGAACCCCGTG